GGATAATGAATTTGTAATTGCTGTTTCTTGTAATCCCTGTGTCATATTTTGACATTCCTATAATTAGGATATTACTTTGAGTGTCCTACAAAGGCCTGTGTGTTAAAGGCTTTGTTCCCATGTTATGTTAATGTTAAAAACGAGTGCTAAGACAGTTGACGCCTTATCCGGTCATGGTGTTTCAAAGCAAGAGCTTTTGGAAGTGACCGAAGTGGGTTGTTAGGCTGGAGCCCCATGGCCAGGTCAAGGTGGCTGAACAACAAAAACAAACAGCTGCATGCTCCCTGGTACCTTGTGATACTTTATGTGCCCTATCAAGCCCATGCTAGCCTGGATGCAGAGGAAGGCTATTGCATGGAACCACCTGACGTTGGACTACGATCCACTAGAACCATAAGTCAATATATACACTTTCATCTTTACACAGGTAGCATTTCACAGGCAGTCAATTGTGCCAAGGGGTTAATAAGTACTATGCATATAAATAATCATGAGACCCCCATAAAACAAATTTATGAATGTTCCCTTTTCTGTAAAAATGTGTGTAGGAATGGTGCTGCATATACCATCAGGACTCAGAAGAATTGACGGGGCAAGACATCTAAGCCTGGATTTCTGAAGGCAGAGTTTTTTTTTACTACCACACTAAATATAGATAAAATTAGCTTAGGACTGATCAGCTCCTTTTTGATACAGTTTAATTGGCACTGAGGTCTCTTTTCCCCCTCCTCCAAGTTCCCTCCCATTGCCTCTATTTTTTTTCTTCCTTTATTGATTACATTGTATTACAAGACATTGTTCTATAGGTACTGGAATTTCCCCCCACCCTCCCCCAACCCTCCCACCATGGTGGATACCTCCACCTTGTTGTGTAACCACAATTCAAGTTCAGTTGGGATTGCCTCATTGTGAGCATATACCAAGCATAGAGTCCAGCATCTTATTGCCCAGATAAGTTCAACGTCTTCTTTGGGAGACCCTCTCTGGTCTGAAGGTAGGGCCAAAAGAGTAAAATCCCACTCAATTAAAAGCCCCATCAGCCCCATATATAACATTATGGAACCAATTGACCTAGTGCTGAGTAAACAATATGTTAGAATGACATGTAAGCTCTTAGCCACATCCTGCGACCATTTCAATGACAATACTGCTTTAGGAAGGGTATGCAGAGAAATCCTTCATCCCTTGGTGAGGAGTACTTGTTCTTTGTGTTCTACCTAGTAAGGTATGTGTGGGTCGATGCTGACCAGTCTTTCCTTGTTGTTCTCTGGTTATCTGTTCCAATTTGTGTCTGTGTGTGTGTTTGGGGGGGGGGTGTTCTGGAGCGACCCTGTTGGTCATTGTAGAGGGTGGGGACCCAGAGCTGGAACTTAGGACCAGAGAAACCTCCTCTCCCTTGTCTCGAAGGAAGTTTACTGTTCTTCTGATTCTGAGGATCACCCAGGGCCCCCCGCTGTTGTTCCGATGACTCTGTATCCAATGAGGAAGGATTCAGGCTTCTTCCATCCCGATGGGGGAGGGATGTCCTCCGAGTTCTCAGCCTCCGAAGGCATTCCAGTTCCCCATGGTTCCTTGGCCGGTGTGATGCAGTCCTTGGTGCCCGTTCTGATAGTCCTTGTTGGGAAGCCGGGAGTTTCCAGGGATAGGATACAAGCCTACTCCTGTCCTGCCGCTCCTCTCTGGGGCTCCCCCCAATTCTGTGCAAGTGACCTCCTGTTAATAGATTATTAGGGTCACTCATGATTCCCCCTGTATGTCTTTGCAGTTTTTACCATTGTCTAATGCTTTTCTGAATGTATTGTCTATAAGTTATCTGTCATATTCCTGATAGGTTTCACTACACGGCTTACCTCACACATTCAAAGGAAATGGAAGATTTCTCTGCATTCTGGCCCCATTTCTAAGTATCACAAGGTTTTGAAGGTATATTGGGTGTTACAATTATTCAAAACACATGTGTTGAGACCGTATTGGTTTCAGGCTCATCTGAGAGAGACTTTCTGTCATCGGGAATCTTAGAAGACTTTCACATCCGCAAAGCACTGCAGCTTCGGTAGGGAACTGTCTGAGCAGCAATCAAAGAACCGAAAAATGCCAGGCCTCCCTGGCCGGGCAGCCAGCAGGCAGAGCCTAGCGCCAAGTGGTGCACTGACCGCCCAGGAGCAGCTCCCCTTGTGGGCATGAGAGCTGCTGTGGTAGTTGCCAGGCATGAAACGGCGGCCCTGGGGGGCCTTCAGCAGCCATGCGGCGGAAGGGCCAATCCCCCCACCCCCGCGCCACCCACGCCCCTTCCTGGCCGGGTCCCCAGCTCCAGCTGCTCCCCCAGTGAGCAGTAGGACAGCCCAGATCTGTTACACAGAGTCCCAAGACGTACCTCCAAGGGAAGCCATCTCTGGGGCTCCTGCAGACTGGGAGCAGCACCCCTTGTGGGCGTGGGAGTGGGGGCCGGAGGGGGGAGGTGGCCCTTCGGCTGCATGGCTGCTGAAGGCCCCCAGGGCCGCCGTTTCATGCCTGGCAACTACCACAGCAGCTCCCACGTCCCTCTATTTCTTTTTGTAATTAACTTAAGAGAACCATGTTTTTCTGCCACCTTGTGTATTTCACCTAAATTTATTGAACATCTATAGCTTTTCCTATAGATTTTGATTTTTAAGCTCAGATCATGTTTTCTTCCTCTAGTGAGGATTCTTCTCAATTTTTGATATGCAGTTAGTGGTTTCCATTGGAGTGTGAATCCCTGCCTTGCTGAATGGATTAACCTTATCCCAGGAGAGCGGGGCAGGTCTCCTGGGAGTAGATGCCTTCCCTTGACCATGGACTGTATCAAGCAGCTGGCATGTCCCTGCCAGCTGGAACCCTTGTCCTTGCTCACACATCTGTTCCTTTTTCACACACTCGATGCCCTTTGCACTTCTCCGTCACACTGTGGCACAGCAGTGTGGTGGTGCCACGTTGTTCTCAGCTGCAGAAGTCCAAGCCAGAAGAATTCTGCGAAGTAATCAGCTCCAAACATCGTTGCGGCAGCACAGCATGTGAGAGGACGCTAGGAAAACAGATGTAGAATGCTGTGTCAGTTGGGCTGTGCCTCCCATCTTCTGACATCACAGCCACTTCAACTCAGTCTGTCTTGACCAGATGAAACTTGGCTTTTTGTCTCCAGCACCCATAGACTGTATGTAGCAAGTTCTGGTGGTAGCCTTTTAAAAATCATAATTGTTATTATTTCTTATCATTGGAAAGTCAGATATACAGAGAGGAGGAGAGACAGAGGAAGATCCTCCACCTGCTGGTTCACTTCCCAAATGGCTGCAATGGTCAGAGCTGCACTGATCCGAAGCCAACAGCCAGGAGCCAGGAGCTTTACCAGGTCTCCAACACAGGTGCAGGGCCCCAAGGCTTTGGGCCATCCTCAACTGCTTTCCCACATCACAAGCATGGAGCTGGATAGGAAGCGGGGCCACAGGGACATGAGCCGGCACTCATATGGGATCCAGGCATGTCCAAGGCAAGGACCTTAGCCTCTAGGCTAACACTCCGGGCCCTAGTGGTTGCCTTTGAACAGTGGCTTGCCGTCTGACCTCTTGTCTTCTGCTGTTAGTTTATACATTAACAAGTATAATCAGAACTACTGGATTTGACAATATTGGACCCATAGAAGTCACCAGTTCTCTAAACTCTTGATCCCCTCTAGTAGCTTCCCTGATGTCTGCATGGCTCTTCACACACAGAAACACAGACACACACACACACACAGTTCAGTGGATGCTTTAAATTATCTTAGTAGATACAGTATTCCTCCTCAAGCTACACCATTATAGGTGAAGAGAGAAAGCATTAAAGCTTTCATTTTTTTAAAAGATTTATTTTTGTTATTTTTTTTATTGGAAAGGCGGATATACAGAGAGGAGAGACAGAGAGGAAGATCTTCCGTCCGATGATTCACTCCCCAAGTGAGCACAACGGCCGATACTATGCTGATCCGAAGCCAGGAGCCTCTTCCGGGTCTCCCACGCGGGTGCAGGGTCCCAAAGCTTTGGGTCGTCCTTGACTGCTTTCCCAGGCCACAGGCAGGGAGCTGGAAGGGAAGCGGGGCTGCCGGGATTAGAACCGGCGCCCATATGGGATCCCGGGAGTGCAAGGTGAGGACCTTAACCACTGTGCCACCGCGCCGGGCCCTAAAGCTTTCATTTTTAAATTAAGGTGTATTTCATTTGTATTCTCACCAACATTTCTCAAAGAATCAGATATCCCCTAACTCTATTTTTGATTCTGAAATTACACAAAAAGCAAAGATCAAGTGGAACATAACAAGACAATAGGATAAAAAGAGTTATAATATGAATTGAATTTTTCAAATTTGAAAAAAAAATTTGTTCTTAGGCAAAAAACATATAAATGTATTGAGCTCCAAGTTGCTTTTCACAACCTGAAAAATAAAAAGCACCACTTTACAATAGTCTCCATCAAAATAACAAAGTTCAAAACAGAGATGTGTAATATAACACATCACCACCTCATGCGGTACTTGTCTACTTTGCACAACTCCTCTATATTCATATACATGCATATACGCTTACCTGTAAATCAATTGATCCTGTATTTTGCATGAAGGTTGGCTTATATCAGAGAATATATGATATCTGTCCTTTTATTGACTTATTTCTCTGAGCTTAATAGTCTCTAGTTAGAACCATTTTGTTCTAAGTGGTACAATTTCATTCTTTTTTTCATGGCTAAGTAGTATTCCATAGAGTCTGTAACTCTGAGCAAAATATTGACTTCCAATAAAACTGTCAAATAGATCGTGACAGTAGAATGCTGGACTTTATTCCATTTTATATATCTAGAATGTCAGGATACACTCTAATAGCAGAGTAGTGGACTTGTGTGTGCTGTTGATAATGTAGGGAAAATAGTGGGTTGTGGGGGTGGGGGTGATGGAAGAAGTGGAAATCCCTGAACCTAAGGAACTGCATCATGAAAAATAATTTATAAAAAAATCAAATTCCTTACTTCTTTATTTAAAAAGCTTATAAAATACAGATTAGTTTTCTGTGTTAATTTTGGAGACTGCGTTACAGAGAATGCCTAGGACACTGGCTGGAGAACGTCAGAGGGGCTGTCACTCCTCGCAGGCTGACGGCCGTTAAGTCGGTGCATGCAGTTGGCGTTTAAGTCTTGCCTCACTTCCTGCTGCACTCACTGTGAAGTCTCTGTTAGCTATTTCATGAGCGTTACTTCCTCTTATTTTCAGGTTGAAGCAAGTATTCAGAAGAGTTATTTCTGAACGTAATCTTGGGCAGCCCTTGCTTGACCCCATAAGAACTGTACGGCTTGCTTAGCAGCTCCCATCCCCTGGGCAAACGCATCCCCCACACTCCCCTTTTCTCTGTTTGCTTTCCTTTTATCTTTGCCTTTCCTAAATGTGGAGTTCAAGTCAATGATTGACAAAAAGCTCTTTTATATCAATTTAATATTTTTGATTTTGTAATTGATATTGGTGAGTGGAGTATCTCCCGTTACTAACTCACTCTCCAAATACTTGCAGTGCCCTAGTTGGAGCCGGAGACGCAGCCAAGGTCTCCCACACAGGTAGTCCTTTTCCTTGCTTCCTCAGCTCCACATCAGCAGGAACAGGGAATGAAAGAGAGCCAGGACTTGGATTCACCTGCTGCTATGAGATGCGGGTGTGTCTGCAGAGCCGGCCCGCTGCTGTCACTGCTTGCACTATGGCTTAGTCATCCTGAGGCTGCCTAGATGCAGAGTCAAACACGGGAACTGGAATCCACATGGTTGATGGCCAGAATATTCCTTTTTAATGTAATTTTCATCTATTCCTGTCAAAGGCAGAGGGACAGATATGTACACAGAGAGAGAGAGAGAGGAAGAGAGAGAAAGAGAGAATTTTCTGATCACTGTATTGGTTTATTTCCCAAATATACGCAATAGCTAGGGTTAGGCCAAGTTTAATTCAAGAGTGTAGAGTTCAGTATGGGGCTCCCCATGGGTTACAAAGTCCCAAGACAGGGCCTGATGCAGTAGCCTGGCAGCTAAAGTCCTTGCCTTGAACTTGCCGGGATCCCATATGGGCGCCTGTTTGTGTCTCGGCAGGCCCTGCTTCCCATCTAGCTCTCTCCCTGTGGCCTGGGAAAGCAGTCAGGATGACCCAAAGCTTTGGGACCCTGCACCTGCATGGGAGACCCAGAAGAAGCTCCTGGCTCCTCACTTCATATAAGCTCAGCTCTGGCCATTGCGGTCACTTGGAAGTGAATCGGCAGATGAAAGATCTTCCCACTCTGTCTCTCCTCTTCTCTGTATATCTCATCTTCCAATAAAAATTATAACAAATCTTAAAACAAGACCCAAAACAAAACAATATACACTCAGACATAGCACTGCTTCTTTCCTCTCACTCTTGTTAAGAAAGACACATTCTCCTTTTGCCTGAAATCATGAGACATTACAGATAAACTCCCTGGGAGAAAGTGACTTTCATTCTCTGCAAATGTCTCCTCTTTGCTGCATTCCTCTTCTGATTGGTTTCTACTTTTTAGCTACTTTAACAGTACTGAAAATAATATACAGTTTTAATTCTACAGTCGGCTTTATTTATTGATCAGTTGACTCTGTCATATGCCAGCACTCTGAGTCTCTTTTTATTAAGATAACCTACAGTTCTTGAAAAATTCTTGAGTGATTGGAAGGTGATTAAGAAGTGCTTGTAAAGTAAGCAATAAAGGAAGTGCAATCTAATACACAATTTGGAGGACTTTACATTTTTTATTAGCTTATGTCTTAAGGTTACAGAGTAAACCTTAAAGATACAGCCTACACAGCAACTCTGTTTAAGCTCTGCAAACTGATACAGATAAAATCAGCTTTAGGAAGTAGACAATTTTCATCCACTAGACTCACAGTCTTTTTTTTAAAAAAATTTACTTTCATCTTAAAAAATAAGGTATGTATTTGAAAGGCAGATTTATAACAGAGAGGAGACAGAGAGATGTATTGCACAGGTGAGATCAGTTCCTAAACGGCCCTGCCAGCCAGGTCTTTACAAGGCCGAAGTCCCGAACCATGAATTTCCAGTCTCTTCCATGGGTGGCAGGAGTCTAAAATCTGGATTATCATCTTCTGCCCACTCGGAGCATTCAAAGAGAAGTGAAGGGCTGCAAGCAGAGCAGCCGATTTGGAAAGCCACACTAACACCCTGCCACCATGACAGCTCACTGTTGTTCCTGTTACTCTCATCAGTTCACGTTGCAACAGCCAGCTGCCAAAAATGACCAGGGATGTTGCTGATATGTTGTGACACATGATGGCCCTTCTTCACTACAGTTGCTGTTTGTAGGAACTATTGAGCAAGAAGTTTCCTAATCTTGACCTGTAAGAGATTAGCAACAAAGGACAATGCCTTGAATGAGTGCCCAGTCATGTGTCAAGGAGTGGACATACATCTGGTGGTAAAGCCCTTCCCACTCCTGCGTCCTGAGGCAGCCTTTGTACTGGAATGGAACTGCATCAAGTGCTTCAGATGATTTCTTAGAGACTAGAATGGGGGACCATGGGTACTTGGATGGACCTGGCAGGTGGACGATGGAGGGACAAGGGTGGTGAGGTCTGCTTGCCTTGCCTCTCACTGACTCTATTTGCTTCCTACACAGCTTTGCAGAGACAGCATTTCAAGTAATATACATGTGACCATATCTTTAAGGATGAAATTCTACTGAGTGTGCAGCCCATACTCAATATCCTGGGGGTTACTGCAGCAGGAAAATCAGGGTGGGGGAAACCAAGGAAAGAGAAAGGAGAAAATCCTGCTGAGTTTAATCTGAGCAGTGTATCCATCACCCAAAATGATACAAATCAGCCATTACTGGATCATGCACAAGCGACTCTCCTACCTGCGATCCCTTCTTTGCTTTTCTAACCCTCTTTGCAGCTCAGCCTAATGAATTGTCAGAACTGTCAGACAGCCCTAAGGAATGACAAATGCCTATGATTTGCTGCTGCTGCTGCTATTTTCCTAGAAACACCTGATGTATGTAGTCTTGCATTCTTCAGTCTCGAATTAGAGACTTGGAAAACAAAATCAACCTTGATAAATATAGCAATTTTTCCCCTGTTCTGTAAGCTGAACTGAATGGATATTTTTAAAGATAGAGAATTGTATTTTGTTCTTATTTATGCACATCTCACAGGGCAAGTCCCAAACAAAGAGTTACCAACACAGTGCTGCAGTGTGTGACATGGCGTAGCTGATCATCAACTCAGGACTTAAGAAACGTCTTTATATTAAGATTGTCTGGGTTAGTCATCAGGGCCTTTGAAGTAAGCAGTTTTGCCTTTATTAACACTATGAGAAGCCAGAGGGATTGAAACCTTGGGTTTCCATTGTGAGCATCCAGGGTCAGCTGCCACCTGCTAGGACCATTGGTGATACCGGCAGTTTAGGAAATAGAAGAAATTTTTAATGATAATTGGTACTTTAGGAGATGTGAAAGATAAACTACCTCTGGTTCTATAAACATTGTTCTGGTAGATTTGTTTGCCAAGGTTATAGCTGAGGCTTCAGTTGGATACCATGATTGTTAAAAATCCCAGTGATTAAAAATTTAAGCCAAGTCTGAATATACTGGAATGTAGAAATTGTACAAAATGAGAATATACTTCAGATTTTCTATTATATGTTTTGTTCACACCTGCTGGTTCTGATTATGGAGTTTAGTTTATCAATCATACTAAAGCCCGATTAAATATGTTATGATGACTCTGGTAAAATAAGTTGTATTTCTCCCGGTAATGTTCATGGTAGAAGAGCTATGCCAGTTCCCGGATCAGATGCCCCTTACAGCCTTCCCTTGTTGATCATCACACTGAGCCAGTCTTTGCCAACACTGACAAGGTCTACGAGTTACGCCATGAACGCCATTACTGCTGATGCAATGGCTACGCTTGGAGCGGCTTCTCCCCTTCTCTCCCTCCTTCCCCGATACAGAGAGAAGAGAAAGCAACTTGGAAACAGCGATCTTGTCCACCTCCCCTGTTCCTCAATCTTTCCACCCTGCTCTGTGAGAGGGCACGCATCCCTCTCAATTACACAATCAGTACTAAAAATAATTTTTTAAATAAAAAATAATATTCAGGAATTTTGTTTTTAAAAATAATGCTTTCTTTGGATTCTACATGTTGTATGAAATGCGTGATTATCTGTGGAGGGTGCTAGCAGGAAATGAGATGACCCATGTCTCCACATGCTTAGTTTCCACAAAATAAAGACCCATTCACTGCATAGAAAATCTGGTTCATATTAGTTAGTCTGGATTACTGGGTAGTCAGTGAACCAATGCAGAATTAAAAAGAGGACAGACTTCCTATTTTAAAATCACAGCTTCCCTTCACTTTGGGCAGGTGTTTTATTTCTGAAATGAAAATTCAGACTCTCCATTGTGGTTTCCAGTAATAAAAATTATTTACATTACACTTAGCATATAGTAAGTCCTCCTTAAATAAGAGGTATGGATAAGCAATAACCATAAAACCTGATTCATCTGGCCACAAGTAGTCTTGATATTCTCACACACCTACGTTTTCACTGCAGTTCCTCATGTCCGTACAATCCGTGGAGTTGCTTCTTGAGGTGGGGGTATCCGCACTTGAGTCTTTACACAGTCTAACATCCCTTTCTCTCCGCTACTAAAGACTGTTGATCTCTTAGTCATGAGGAGGGGGATTTTATTTTTCTGCATAAATCTGTGAAAAAAGGGGATAGGAAAGAAAGAAAAGATAAATTCCCAGAAAAATAGAGAGACCATCACAATAACACATGGGGACAGTATGCAATTTTATGCTTTCAGAAATTAGACTCTAGAAGGTACTTCACGTTCGCAAAATGCTGCATAATGGCTTTTCTCCAACAGCACTTACCTCCCAAGGCAGTAAGCTGTGTGCACAGCAGAGTGGATCATCTTTGCAGGGAATGTAAGTTCTTGATGCGGTGGAAGATCTGAGAAAGAGTGCATGGTCTGTTCCCCAGAGCCTGTTCACTTGCGACAAGAAGCTAAGAGCTTTAGCACAGAGTATCAGGTGATGGGGTAAGCCTCCCGAGGTAAACAGCAGGATTTCTAAAGACGCAATGATCACGTCTTCGCCTTTTCTCTCTGCCTGCCATGGGCTGGGCTGGGTCTGTTGGTTAAACTAGAGAGGACCGGTTAGGTCGCAGAAGTTCTAAAAATGCTTGCAGGTTTGCTTTGACGTCAGCTACAGATCAGTTTCTTCATTTCTTCTCTGGATATTACCAAGGTATTGTAGGGGAAGTGGGGAGAATAGGAAAAAAATGCTTTTCTCCTTTACATTATCTTCATAGATAAAAGGAAGCCTGACTTCTGAATTCATGGCATTTTAAATCTCTGTTTTCAGTCTAAGACTATTGTTCTTTGTATTTTCTTTAAAAATTTCAATGATCTAAGCCTAAATATCTCTGTGAACACGAAATGCTGCATGCATGACGCACTCACACACACATTCATGCAAATTTCAGCAACGCACATTCTACCACTCAATGGATTCCCCCACTTTGCATCTTTTGGTACTCGGTCATCCCTACATAAACTTGGGCAGACTGACTATCCTGGTACCTTCCTCCGTTATGCCAGGGCGTTTGCGCGGTGAGACACACCAGACTTCCTCCGTCATGCCAGGGCCTTTGCGCGGTGAGACACACCAGCAGGGGGACTAACTGCACACACACTTGAAGTGGTAGAACTTAATTCACTTTCCTCCCTCAGGAGGGTCAGAAATTGGTCAGAATGTGATGACTTGAGCCTCCAACAGCTTTAGATTTATTCCTGGGCATCCACAGAGGGTTCCAGGCTTCAGACACACAGTCCTTGTGTCTCAGCAGCTGAGTCGGGCTGGTTGAAGGTTGTTGTAGTAGATGCCACTGAATGCCTTCCTGAGAATTTCATGGGAGTGTTAAAGAGGAGAAGTCCTTGAAACCAGGTTGTCTCTCTGTTCTCAATGTAGCTTCTGACTGGGGCTCCTGTTAGGAGGATCTCATCACCAAGAGGGTATCACCTCCCATGAGGCTCCAAGGTGTAGCACCTACAACAACCAGCAACCAGCATGTCTTAGCCTGCTGCCTCTCAGAGCATCCCTGACTTCCAACCTGAAGTTGGAGCTGAAATCTGGGAAAAACTGGCTTGTCACGCCAGAACTTGCCTCTGCTCAGCTGTAACTTTGAAAACAGTACGCCAGTAACAACTTCAAGCACAAGATGCTAGGGTCTTTTTCCCCAACCCTCCCCATTGCATCTGCAGAGAAAAGGACGTGGGAAACCTGCAGAGCCAGGTCAGCCCCTGGGGACGCAGGTGGGAGAATGCTGCCCCGGCAGCTGGGCCTTCCCTTCACAGCTTGTCAGCAAGAAGTGAAGCAGCCCTTGCTGCAGCCTTTAACACTTGCTAAAGTGGGTAAGGGCAGCAGGAGATGAAGAGCGGATGCTCCGGAATTTCAGCTCACACATGCCTACCTGGCTTGGGGGTTTCTGCACTTATAAATGTGCCTTTGCATGGCACAGGCTCAGGAGCTCGGACTCCTCCCCCCTGCTCCTTCCCTCCAGTTGGTTATCATGACAATCCTTTAGGCAACATCCTCTGTACCAGGGATTCTGCAAATAATTTGAAAGAACTTGTACCTAAACGGGACTGCGTGTCCTGACCTGTGATCATCTGGCTCACCCAGACTGGGCTCATGAAACTCTGTTGAAGGAAGAAAACATTCAATGTATTTGTGCAATTAGCATTGTGCGTGGCTGACCGTAAGCTCTTCAGAATATTTGAGAATCTTACCTCGATGGTTGAAAAAGGCTGGAGGAGGGTATGATCACCTGAGCAAAAAAATCTGGATATATTGAACGCTTGCTTTCATCCCAAGTTTGTTGATTATCTTCCTTTCTTGATCTGTCCATTGAGCATTTTGTTAAAGAATGAGTTGGACCTCTGAAAATCCACCTACTTGCAATCTTGACGGCAATAATTATATAGCAGCTCGTGCCAATAATTGTATAGCAGCTTATGCCAGAAGTCAGCAGCTGATGGCCCTTTTGCTTAGGCCCACACCACCCACAAGGGCAACCCAACTGGATTCTCAGGCTCCTGGTTCTAAACCTATCCAGCCCTGGCTGTTGTAGTCTTTTGGTAGATGAACTAACAGATGGAAGATTCTCTCTCTCTCCCTTCCTTACTCCCCCCTGCCTCACTCTCCCTCACTCTCTCCCTCTCTAACACTCTTCTTCAAGTAAATAAAATAAATCTTTTAAAAATGGGAGATTATATCGCACAGATGCAAAAGATGCTGTGAAGACTCGGCAGAACATAGCCATGTACAAACCAAGGAGAAAGCCTGAAATGGGGTAAGCCAGCGATGGGGTAGCCCTGCCGACTCCCATCTCATACTCCCGGTCTGCAGACCTGGTAGGCAATAACTGCATCATGCAATTTGTATCACCTTATAGCATGGCCATCCTTAACACATGAACACACACTTACTCAGATATATTGTGTACCTGCCCCTTGAATTAGCTGTCATTATTTTCTTGATGATCGTGCAAGTATTTTTGCTGCACACATTTGGAAGAAAAGAGTTATCCATTAAACATCTTGCTCAAGTCACCACCTTGCAAGCATTCCAGCTGGAAGGTGCCCTGAAGTTCACGGCTTTGAAAGCAACAGGGAAGGCTGTAGTCCGCAGTGTACACTTGTGTTCTTAGAGCATGGGATAGGGCCTTGAGTGTGTGTGTGTGTGTGTGTGTGCGCGTGCGCATACACACATGTGTGGTTCCTTAGGTCTTCGCTCATTGTATTTAACAAGCAATGGAAATTCATGGACCCATTGTGACTCTAAAATTGAGTGCAGTTTTGAGAGAAGTGGCCAGAGGAATGAGGAATGCGAGGCAGTTAGCATCCCATGGGATATGTTTCCCCAGGGCTCTGGGCGCTGCCACTAGAGCAGGCAGAGGAACCAGAATTGGCTCTCGGTCATCAGCGACTTGTGTTATTGTATTAACAGAGAGACAATAGCCAAGCCTTCAAGGACTGAACCATTGGACACCCCTAAGCAGCCTGAGCCTTGGGTCTGTATCATCACTCGCTGGTGTAATAGCAATCCTCATGCAGATTCGGCCGCGGAGGAATGTGTCTGCTAGAACGGAGTTCACGCATGACATATGATGTATCTGTTCAAAGGGACAGATACATCTTTCTTACTGCCGCCACGCAGCGGCTCTCAGCCACCATCCCTCCTGTCCAAATCACCTCAAATAAATGTGAGTGCCGCACTGCTCACAGTAATTCCTTCATTTTTAAACACATAATGGAAATGTATAACTAGTCCTCATAAAAATTTATATCTCAATCCGTCCCTTTAATTTATAACGGGCCCTCTAGGCGGTTATTATTCAAACGTTAATAAAATGCCTATGGATCACCAAGAGCAAGCGTCTCCAACTTCCCTTCTCCCCCTATTTGTACTTTTATAAAACTAGATTAGCGTTAATGCCACTTCTGCTCCCAACAACAATTATGCCTTTAATAAGAGAGGGCTGCATGATGTATTAATCATGGTACGAATACGGTTCCTATCAGCAAACCAAAGTTGAATTTTTCATGCCCTTTGCCACAACTGCTGCTCTCGCTACTCTATATGTTTAGATTCTGCAGTTTATGCAAATGCCTCCTTTCTATAAATTTTAGATTTATCTCCATTTGTCACTGTATGCATTCTAATAGAACATGATTGTTTTTTTCCTAAAATATGATTAAAACCCATTTCAATTATTTATAGTGAGAAAGGTAAGAAAATAGAAGTAGATGGAGCTTCCCTGTGCCACAGGGTTAATTATATGACTTTTAAAATGTTAATAAATTTAACACACGCCCAACCTCTTCTCAATTTTTAACAATAGTTGTCGTGAAAATGGTTTGATGGAACCCAACAAAGACAACTCAGCATCACAGGCTTTATTCTCCACACCTGGAAGGCTTGCTTGGGCATCTCCTGGCACAGGGCGGGTTCCACTCTCCTTATTCTCCCGGCTTGCCAGGAAGTCTCCCAACCTGATGGAAAGCATCAATAAAAAGCTGAACCTGAGCAGTACGTGTCTGCCTCAGCCTGGTGAAGTGTACAGGAGTGGGTGAGTACAAAGTAGGACTCCCAGCAGAGAGCTGCTCTACCACCGGCCCAGGTCCTGCTCTAACAGCTCCCTGTCTGATGTCAGCACCGCGCGTTAGCCAAAGTTGAGCAACAACCAGCTTAGAGGAAGAGCATTCACTATGGAGGATCTGTGTTTCCGTGTGAGACGTGCTCACAAGAGAAGTTCCTCTTCTATCCCTCTCCCCTGCCACTCACAGATGCCAGTTATAGAAATAGACGAGAGATTGCCAGTGGACCAAGGAAATATTTAATAAGGCCCTTGACTTCATTATATTCACCACTCTCCCACCAATTTTTATCTTGACTCTTCATTCCTCGTCTCTGTGATCCCCTCTCAATAGATTTCCAGAAACAAAGCTGGCTTCACAGGTTGGTTCCAGTTAAATGTTCCTTGTTCTTGTTAATGAGATTCTGTACCTTTAAAAAGCTAGCCCTGCCTCACCCCCTTTACATCCTGCACATCTAACGGTCTTTCCACTAATTGGTTCTGTGTAAATGAAACAAGCTGAAAAACACTGTGGCACCAATAAATATTAATAAGTTATTGTTTGTTTTCTTTACCTTGCTTATGAATTCATACAAAGACAGTGCTAAGACATTAACTCCAGTCTATTAATTGCCACCTGATACTTTTCTCCTGGATAATTAGGTACCCATTAGTTCTAATCAAGTAGTTACTTAATTATTGCAGTAATTAGTCTAATGGACTAGCAAATTGAAGCTTTATCACTTTTGGATACTTAATGTTCCTGACAGAGTACTTCGCAAGTGTCAGGGTTCCGGATTCAGCAACCTGCCATGTGAGAACCCCTCCTCCACCTCACTCGCGCTGCATCTGTCTCCTGACAGGGTTGCTGCGGAAGCTTCCAGAGGGCTACCGGGCCTGCATCCCTTCCTGGGGATCCTTCCTCACGGAATGCCCAGAGTCGGGGTGCTGTCTGTGTGGGCAGATGCATGCTGAACTCCTGGGCCACATGAGATGATCTGTCCCTGCATTTGGGGGGTTGCTTTTTTGCGCAAGGGAAATAGGCAAAGGGAAAGACTTGTTTACAAAGGTCGCGGACCTGATTCAGGAGTACTTCATATCCTCCTGACTGAGCAAAACGCTGTGTGCAACAGCCCGAGAGCGCATGAGTCCCACTGTTTACACACGAGATGGAGTCCAAGCAGAACTCCACGACCCAGGTGGAAGCAGGGACCTGCACAGGGCTGCGCTTCGTGTGAGGGACTTTCCACGCACTCTGAGATCGCCGATGATCGTCTTGGTAAAATGCTCATGACCCCACAGCGATGTTCCAGAACACTCTGTCATAGACGGTGCCACTCTGTTTCTGAAGCTTCCCCAGAGTTTTCTCATATCTAGCGTGCTATGGCTGCTGCTGGAATGCCTCTTCCCTCACTGGCCAGCAGTCCCCTCTTCCCCATCCGGGCAGCTGTGGTACAGCTCCGCGCATCTCCGTGTTT